CAACTTTAACACGAGCTTAACCCTTTTTGGGACCTTACCTGTTTACCAATAGTAGGATTTTGTCTCCATCCAGTGACGAATAGGAAAAACGCAGGTTACAAACGCTGTCGTCATGTTCACGCAAATTCTACGTGCGCGTTCACGAATGTACCCTGTGATCTATGCGTCAGCTGTCAAGCCGTGCACGCGCACACTACAGTCCTGTCTCTATGCAAGATTTGTTTGGACAACGGGAGCATCTGAAATTCCACAGAGACCCGGAACACTCAAAGTATGGTGACTGCAGTGTTAGTGCCATCGAGCCGGACTAAAGCGACTCGTTGACAGGAGAGGAAGTCGTGTAATATTGTCTTCTATTAGCGGAGAGGACACGCCGTGGACAGGTTTTCCCGTTTTATCGTTGCTAATACGCTAACCTCGGAGTTCTACAGCCGGCTTCATTAGCTTAGCTTAGCACGCTAACGAGCTGATGTAGCGACAGCTGCGGGGCGCTCAGTGAAATGCGGTGGGACCTTGTCTGGAGGAAAATTACTTTGGAAAATTTTACCGACTCATACGAACCATGTCGTTAGCTGCTGCGAAGCCGTGATGGCTTTGTTAAGGTGAAGTGACACACGAGGAGGTTTTCAGTCAGGTGGGGCTGCTCGGATAGTTATGAGCAGTTTCAACATCACAACTAGAACCTCCACATTTAGCTCACGTTTGAGCGACGATAGTAAGGTCTCAACGGTCAGCGTCCGAACCGCCAACAACAACAACAAGGAGTGGGCTTTGGGAAGCGATGTGTTCTCGTACTATCACGAGATGAGTCTCATGGACGACACGATGCAGGCAGGAATGTCCTCCGTCCAGTCAGGACTGGAGGGACACCTGCCGCTTTTACATGCCAGACACCACAGCGCCCAGGGCGGCTTGTTGTTGGACCTGAGCTCCCCGGAGTCCTACCTCGACAGCAGCTCCCTGGAGTACAGCGACAACGATGGCAACAACGCTGGTCCGTTGTTCGAGAGGAGGAAGAGGTCCAGGTCCAACAGCTCCAGACACCGATTCAACGAGGTGGTCACGGAGCTCGGTCCGGAGGAGGTGCGGTGGTTTTTCAAAGAGGACAAGAAAACGTGGAAGCCCTTTGTCGGGCATGACTCGCTTAAAATCGAGCTGATGTTTCGGAAGTACCTCGAGCTGAACCCTGGTGCAGCAGGCTCCCAGGTCAGTGGCGGAGAGGAAGAGTGCAGCAGCAGAAGTGTGGAGAGCAGAGGGCTCAACGGTGCAGTGCCAGTAGAGACGAGGACCAGCAGTGTGCACGGAGGCCGGGGGTCCTTGGACACATCCACCGTGTCCTCTGATGAGAGGGACCCTGACAGCATTGACATCAGCGTGGAGCCAGTGTGTGTTCGGGGTGGGCTTTATGAGGTTGATGTCAAAGAGAGAGAATGCAATCCTGTCTACTGGAAGCGTAAGTATAATTACCCATAACAAAGTCTGCAAAATCATATTTCAGCCCTGCATTAGTTAAAAATAATGTAGGAGGAAGAAGCACCATTAACTGAGAATATGTCCTGAGGCACTAACTCCTGTGATAAAGCTCATATAAACCTTATAATCTGCAGCATAAAGGCTGAGTGCACACAGAGCTGCTCTCACGTCTTATTATCAAAATTTCATCATAAGCGACATCCATCCCTTCTCCTATAACATTTCAAACTAGCAGAGGATTATGCATTTGGTTGAGTAACTTGCTGAGACCTGCATTGTTTTGCAGGATTTTCTTTATTGGCAAACTAATTACATAGCCTGGTCTTCTGGTGAACAGCCCAGGATGTCAGTCTATTGAGCTCAGCTGATCTGTACTAAGTAATTCATGAATTTTTCCAGGAAAAAGCAGGGAACAAATGAAGGCGGTCGCTGTCGGGCCTCAGAAAACCTGAACTGCATGAAAGGGTTCATGGGTAGCTGGCTCTATTGAAGGTTAATGTCAAGTGACTGTTGGAGAGGCAGCTACTTTCCTGACTGTAAATACTGTGGATCTAACTCATGTGTAGTCACTTCAGGCCCTTGATGTACTGTTTCAGGTTAGTTTCTACCCGTAGTAACACACATGCCATGTTGGTGCTTCAGACTCTGATGCACTGCTTTTGAGATAGATGCTAATAGAGCAGTAGACTTGAAAAGTCATCAAATGCACATCAGGTCAGGAGAGAGAGATCCATTTATGGAATGGGAGACGTGGAAAGGTGGTTGATGCACTGTAATCCGAGAAGCAAAACATCCAAATAATATGACATTATCAAACAAAAAGGTTATGTAAGATGTTTTGGCACATGTTAGCTTTATGTTGGCATATTTTGCAAACAAAATGAAATGGTCATATTTCACCTAGTACTTGAAACTTGAAACATCATGTTATGTAAGGACTGCAAGCTTATCTTCTCTGACCAGGCATGAACCACCGTAACAAATGACTGATTATTATCTGCTGTCTTTAAAACTATCGTTCTTGTGTGTCTATCTCAGCCTTAGCCTTGTTTTGGGTCCCTCGATATATAAATACAAGTATGCTCATGTGTTGTTATTTTTTTTATATTTGTCCCAAAGAAAGGCCCCGTCTTTTGCAAAGTGAGCCTAATTTAAGATCTGCTGTTGCACGCTTATTCACCACATGAGAATCACTTAATAATGTCACGCAAGACTGTAAGCAAAACCGACCTTGCTCCATTAATCACTGAGCTGTGGCCCTCCTGGATTTGTCAGACTTGTTGAGTTAAACAGAAATCAGGTTATGGCATTCAGAACCTATTCTCAAAGGGACTTAGTTCCTAGAATATTTCTGAAGTAGTGTTGTTGCTTTCATTGTACATAGACAAGTCAAGTGCAATTAAAGTGTATCTTAATTACAAGACATATCCCCTGGCCAAAGAAGTACGACTCCAAAATGTCTGCCCATACAATAAAGGTATTGTTTTGCATCTGCAACTAAATCAATGCTGTTGCTGTCTTTCAGAACAAGACCATATTCCCGTGATGAGAGGCCAGTGGTTTATCGACGGTACCTGGCTCCCGTTAGAAGAAGAGGAGAGCGACCTCATTGAGCAGGAGCACTTGAACCATTTCCGTGGGCAACAGATGCAGGACACCTTCGAGACAGATTTGATTGTCAAGACCGTTGACAGCAAAGATGGTGAGCACTGGGGAAGGGGAAGGGTAGAAGAGTTTTAGCTGTAGTGCGACGAAATGCTCTAAATGTAGAAAGTTAAAAAAAAAACAAAACTGTGTCATTATCCTTAAACACCACAGCACTGAAGTATCCATTCTTGAAAAACAATAATGTGATTATAAATAAATTTGATGGTGGGTACTTTTGTACACTCAGAATGGGATCTGGGATTGAAACAAAGGTCATAACATCTTATTGGTGACGGTTAATACAAACATCAAACACATTATTACTGCTGGATTCACGAATAATCAACTGCTTTGTGTTCCTGGCGGGATTGTGTTGTAAAAAGAAAAAAAAAACAAAACAGAACAGTACTATGTAAGAGCAGCCAAGAGATAAAGTACTCCCTTAGGCTTTATTAGTTATAAATTCCAGAAAACGTAGTCAGTTAAAATGTCAGTCTTCACAATAAAGCCACAAGAAAAGCACAAAGAGTCATAAATGGTGAGTTATGAGACAGCCCTGTATGCTGTACTGTCGATGCACCGTCCAAAAAAAATTAATGGGACAGGTGCCTCCATTCATGTGTGTGTAGGCTTTGTCATGTCATCCTTCCAATATGAAGCAGGTGCAGCCAGTACATTCTGGCACATCCGTCTCTTAGGGCTGGTTCAAGCGAAATGTAGCAGACTTTAGCTGTGAAAGGCAATAAGAAAGAGGTTCTTTGATTCAGCAGTCTCCTTAAGGCAGCAAGATCTACAAGACCTTCGCTGGTGATGAATGTGTGGGTGTGTGAATGTGGCAGCTAAATAGAGCAAAGCAGAGAGAAAAAGATGCAGCAACTGTTGAAGAAAGTGTAAAAATGTTTACTCTTCATTTGAAAAGCATGACTCCAAACATCACCAGAAAAATGTGGAGCATACTGTACATACTAAAACACAAATTACCAAATAGAATAAAGAGTGTCATTTAGAATCTAGCTGAATGTATTTACGCTTGTACTCCTGAAACCCTGATTGGCTATATTTAAATAATAACTGCAGAATGACTCAAACGAAAAACTTCAGTTAGACTGTGAGCAGGTTATTGACATATATTGCAAATCTATCTCGCCTATACATGTTCTCTGCTTGCCTCAGGTTTCCTTCAGCCTCAGGCTTTGCGTGCCTCGAACACTGTTGCTGACATGTAATGACACTGTCTTTCCCCCCTGCCCAGAATAAATTAAGGCCTATAAATAAAACCATCAACAGAGCAGAGGAAAGTGGTTCCAGCAGACTGGATCAGTCTCACTTGCATTGTCACAATTTCTGTTATGTACTCATAGCTCCTGACTGTGACCACGGGAGTGTTAGGGGGGAAAAACACAAACAAACTGTGAAGTCACTCACACAGGCATTTGTGCACATAAGGGCAGTGAAAGATTTAGGTGTATATGGAGGGATATAAAATCACAGAGGACAGAGGGATCATCGTCACATTATCTGCAGGGTGTGTAAAATGTCATGTAGGGGCACGCAAATTGGTTCTGTGACACTTGAAGGCCCCTCTATTGCACAGCAGACAGATCTTATGTCCCCAGCTTGTCTGGTGGGTGAATTGTATCAGTGCTGTATAATTCTGCTCACCTTGTGAGATAGTGAGAAAGCTAAGGGAATGTGTTATTAAAACCCCAATACAAGCTCCATTTCTACATGTTGCGTGTAATGCATGGAGTGAAAACATTAATCTTCGCTTGGCAAAACCCTGCTGCCTTTGTTGGCAGATTGATTTCCATTTCTATATTTAGCAGAGCATTAAAGCAAAGTGAAGTGATGGATTCTGTTAATTCAACTTCTTCAGGGAGCTGTTACAGGCGGCCTTTACAGGAGAGTATTTTATGTTGGAACTAATAATTTGAAGTGCTCAGAGCCAGAAGGAGCCCACCCTGAATGCATAACAATTGATATATGTGTCATAAAGTGAGCGAGCTTTGCACTGAAAACACTGCAGTACATACATTTCCCCTGCTATCTCTTACTGTGTCCCTTACCTAATGCTACTCCGTTTTTTATACTCGAGTGTTTGTGCTGCAGTAGCCTGCTGAGACTAAAGGTTAGTGAAGCAGAAGACATGGTAGGCATACCAGTGTGTTATGCAGGCATAACATCCTCATGTGGGACTATTGCTAGGTACAGAATGTGCATGGATGTCCTGTTCTTGCCAATTCTTTGTGAGTGGCAAACACAAGTTGGGACGTAAAATGTGAACGTCAGCAGATACATTTAGATACAAATGCATGAGCACAAGAGCTGATATGAATAGCAGAAAGCGTAATGAATGACGAAGTGGAGATGTTTGCCAATAGTCAAGTTATGTGAATTTCTGTTGTTAAAAGTATCACAAAAGAAGGATTAGTTGTCACTTGTAAGTATTAGAGTCAAATGAAGACTGACAGCTTTAACTGTAGTTCTTTTACAGTGTCAGTAGAAATAAGCTTTTAATGTTGGCTTTGATGAATTGGTCTTCACAAATGTTTTCTTTGAAAGAACTTCAGTGACTAGTCAAAATGTATGCTTTAAAATCTGATATTTCCTTTTGTCCACTCAAATTTTTAAGTGTTACTGTTTGTAACGTTCTTGAGTACCTGCTGCCATTTGAGCCAGAAGAAAGTTGACAGCCATCACAGACGGTGAACTTTTGACATCAGTAAGGGAGCCACAATCCTCATGTCAGCTAAAGAAGCTTAAAATGGCAACACGGTTTGCAACTGATGGCTTTTATAAATAGCCTTTCCATATTTCGATATCCCTTGGTCAATTGAACTTAATTGTGCCAGCGCCATTTTCCAAGCCTCGCCGTGGAAAATGTGTTTTTGTAATTTACAGAGCGCTGCACATTGGAAGAAGCAGAAGAAAATATTTAATTAGAAGAGGATTCACTTTAAGCTTTTACGATTTGGGTGTATTCAGCAGTAAGTCAATGGTGGAAACTACAGGGTGTGTCCCAGTCTGTCTGGCTTGAAAGACGTCAAGGGAAAATAGAGCCAGCAGGCTAGGCACAGTGTCATCTGTCAGCGTTGTATGTTGTCTATGTTTGAGGTAGGCAAGGCTGGCAGGTTTATTTGTACATGCTAAATATTGAACTAAATATTTATTTAGGCAGCACATGACGCTGAGAACACATTGCATGGCTAGCATGTGCTTCACAGAACCAGAAAATACCGACCTACTAACTGAGCACACATTTGGCAGTCAGCTAGATGTGGCCATTACTTTACTCAACATTCAAGTGTCTTGTACGCTTAATCACTTAGTAAGTAGTTGTGTATATCTACTGTTCACGATGACGATATTAATGGCAATAATAGCAGTGGTTCAGTCTTCCTTCAGGTAGATCTAGATTTAAACACCAAGGGCACATATACATTATGCAATACAACACAAATGAATCTTGTTCGTTCATTTTGACCTCCGTGTACATATCCTGTACATAGTAGATATCCCAGTCATGAGCAAGCACTCATTTATGAATGGATCCATCAGTGCTGTAATGCCTAAATGGACATTAAAGACTTGCTTTTACAGCAAACAAACCTCCTGTACACTCAGCAGTTCTCTGCCCCTCCGCAGCCTTTCACCTCTGCTGGGAGAAACACTGCTGACATTTGCAAGTCTAATGTCTTTGTAATCATGGTTTGAATGATTTAGTCAGTTCTGAGACTTGACTGATTTGACTAACAAATTCGAAGGAGGAGTTTTTCAAAGTCAAGTAAAGACTTGAACAGATTCAGTAATGTAATGTATATAAAGCTCATGGTATTTCTATTGCTGTGCAGCTTTTTCTGACACAAAAAGTAAACTAGCTTTTGTTTCTGTCTGTCAGTGTACATATTTGTGTGTTTTTAAATGTATGTTTTTAAGACCTCAACCACACAAACTTGTGCAAGGAAGGAAAATGAACTCAGATCTGGTATCAAACTATACAGTGTGTCACCATAAACATCCTTCTGTCATTGGGAAAGAGTACGACTTCTAAGAATTTGCACCTGAAAAATCCTCTTTTTTCCTTTCTTGACATTATTAAAAATGTTATGATGAACTAACATTTCTCCCTACAGAAAGACTATATCATCTTTTGATTGACACAGCTTCAGGAATAGAAATGTTTGAGACAATCTCTCACATATTACTTATGCAGATGTGTTTTTTGTTTGTGGAATTTAGCATTAGATCCTTAAAACAGTCAATATGGGTATTATTGCATGATTATTATAATTATTCGTTAAGCTACATGGAAACGTAACTACTGCTAAATACTGTCACAAGTGTGTATCACACGTACACAAAGAGAAATGGTGATTAACTTTGTGGCATGTTTAATCACTGTAATGGCTTGTGTAGATATCAATTCTGGACTTCTGTAATGAGTGTAAAACAGATACTACCTCAGTCATCTAAGGCACACATCAAACAGCGCTGCAGTTTGGGCTGTCGGCTCATCCTAGCCTGTTGCCGAGGCACTGTTTCAGGTTATTTCCTGCAGCCACCAGGTCCCTGCAGTAACCTGAGTGCAGCGCTACTTGATAGACTGACCTGTTCAAGAGTGATGACAGCGGTAGTCTGTGTGACTGACACCAGGGTGATGGCCATTACTCACTCTTTGTTGGTTGTTAGTTCTCTCCCACCTACCCCCTTTCTACCTCCCTTTTCTGTTCAAATGGAGTGGATATCAGACGAGTGCTAAAACCACATGTCACAAGCGCAAACGCTGTCAAGGTACTGTAAAATACCAAGTTGCTTTGTTTTTATTTCTGTTGTCTTAGATCTTCTAGCTCGTACTCCCCTCCTTGTAGATCCTAGGTCTCTGTGGAACTCGATTTTCCTTTCTTTTGTGGTTCAGACCTTTTGAAATCGAATGTTTAGAACTAGACCTAGGCTCAGTTAGAAAAGGTTGTATTCATATGGACTTAGACTGTTCTGTCAGTTCTCCATTGCAGCCTTAACTGGGCCTAGTTGCTAGAACTTCTCCTTTTGTGCTGTGACCCAGAGTTTGATAGTGCTGCTGTTGCTGCTGCTGCTTTTTGAGGAATCTGTTTCTCATCTTTCTGCTAGAATAGTAAATCGTCAACATGGTTCCCACAACTACTAGAGTAAAACCCCTGAAACAGTAAGATCTAGAATATACAAGCTGGTCCTCAAAAAAGCCAAGGTGCTTTTTTTTGTTTGTGTGTTTGTTATTTTGCTTTTTTTTTTGTTGTTGTTGTTGCTTTTTTTTGCTTTTTCTTAAATCTCCCCGGCCCTGTGTTCCACTATTGCTCTCATTGCTTTCTTTCTCTCATTCCCTCTGGCTGTATGAGTGTATCATTAATGAACCACCATCAACAGCTCCCGCTTTAAGGGCTATGAACAAAGCACTCTGTTGAGAGCAAAGCACAATTGATGAGCCAAACAGAAGAGCCATTGTGGCCTTACTATTATAGCCCTTAACATGTTGTGTAGAGTCGCCCTCTTTGAGGTCCATCACTGTCCCAGTTCTGGGTGTATTGAATAGAGAAGTCTCTGGGTCTGTGTCCTCACCTTGTAGTAAATTCAAGCGGTTCTTGGCCTAAAGCCTTGTGTGCAAGACCTAAACATAGACCTGTGATTTTTGTGTATAATGCACCACCTGAGCTTAGAGTATTACAGTACAATAATACACTTTTTATATAACAGTGTACCATCTGTGTTGGCAGACGAGCCTTATTGAGATATCTGGTTTTTATGTTAGTCACACCATAGCCAAGAAAATTGTAGCTTATGTTTTATAACTCTTCTTTCAAATACAAATGTCACCCATGCCCTTATCATTGGATATTGGCTGGTTATTAGCTCAAGGAGCTTTTTTTTTTCCTTCCTCTCATTTGTGCTTCTTTCATGTTTCACAGACTCCATCACACTTAACTTTGTTTTGAGTTCACCCAGTCTATTCGTATTCTCTGTCACATCCTTCGCCTCTTCCTTTTCAAAACTCTCCCTTGTCCTGTAATTCTCCGTAGCCGTGTTAGAGAGCTAGCTCAGTAAACTCTTTCTTGGTTGACTGCCACACTTTGATCTCCTTCTGCCTTCCTTTCACAATGCGCTCCCTTTCATTGTAAAACAGGAAGTGGTCTTGCACGTAACCTACGCATCATTCCATCTTAGTGGCTACATTTTTTCTCAAAATTTGATTTAATTAAAACAGCTAACTGGAGTAGTTAAAGTATCTGTTGAAGTTGGACCAGTACCTCCTGTTTTACAGTTCACTTAGCTAAAGATAAATCTCAACAGGTTGAAGTGGCTTCGCTCAACTTTGTGTAACAGTGTAGATTTCATGGCCAGTGCTACCTTCTTTTTGAACCATGTCTTCACTTCTGTGTCCAAAAGGTATATGAGGACAGGAGGCCACTTTAAACTGTCTGAGAGAAATCCAGACCGGATGGTCTTCTAAAAAGAGCTGGTTGTTCTCTTTTGCTGCTGCTATCCAAGAGTGGTTTAGTATTATTTCATGTGGTGATAGAGTTTAGCATATGTTTCATTTGCTGGTGAGCGGTTTCACTTGAGGATCTGCACATAAATGGAGAAACTGTCTATATTACCAAATACCTCACCTGGAAAGTTCTTCAGGGGACAAGCTTGTTTAATCTGGCTGAGGAAAAACAACAACTTTCCCTTTGCTAGCCCTAATTGGTCTAGCGCTTGAGAATTGTTCCTGACAAACTCTCTTTCTTCCAGACTGTGCTTGTCCTCATCTTTCAGAAGTATTCATTTTCACACTGGTTGCACTCAGGTCTCAGCTAAGGTACAAGCAGTGCCTGGCCTCTCATTGCCCACTAGTCATGCTTGTCCAATGAGAAATTTACCAGCCAGGAAACAGAGGACAGGTTTACTCAGGCGTCTTTCTTACCTTGTAGACCTGGCCAGTGTATTATCAAGGGATGTCTCATAAATGTCCAAATAATAAAGGTTGTTATTGATTATTTTTCCTTTATGACAGGTACATATAGCAAAGACATTCAGCAAGTTTCAGTGCTTAGTTCCATCATAGTAATATTTTCTACACACTGGCAATGATTGGGGGACTGCATTGTGGAGAGTTTCAAGGTTTCAAAAACAAAATCTGGAACGCTGCATTTCTCCAAGTACTTTGCCCTGTTCTCATGGGTTTTAATCTGCAGTTTGGTTCAGGGTAGTACAAAGAGCCATGACTGCGCTCTGGATCAATGCCAGAGACTTCCACCAATCTCATCCAAATGAACTTGACTGTGCAGGGCATTTAAAGGACATGCAACAGGGACATAAATAACTCTCTCAAGTGAACCAGTTTCATTTATTGCTCTTAGCTTCAAATGGTGTCTCCTCTTAGCCATACCTCTGCTCTTACTTGCCCGAGTCACTGCATTACATTTTGAAGAAACAACCTGGAGAAATATTACACTGAAAGCAAAATTAACTCAGATATCAGCATATAGAAACTCCACAGTCTGATGATAAGCAGGACGACAAGCAAGAGCTGAAATATGCAACCATGGTGTGTGATAGTTTGATGTGTTTTTCTTTCTGCAGATCAATGCTCCAGACTGCATTTGATTGAGCTTTTTCGATTAGATTGATCCAAGATTTTTGATATTCTTTTACTAAATTCAAGATTATCGTAACTTTGTCTTCAATCTGTCTGCTTTTGTACTATCCCTAAATTTTGTGATCACAACCCGTTGTATCAGTGACTCTCTCTCCTTTTCCCCTGTTCCCTGACTTTCCCTTGCCAAATTTCCCACACCATCTGCAAATGCCCTCCTTTCTTTCCTCTACCCGTTCATTCATTCACTCACTCCTCTCTCACTGCCCCTCTACAGCCATCCACAGTCTGAAGCTGAGTCGAACACATGTGGATTGGCACAGCGTGGATGAGATCTACCTCTACAGCGATGCCACCACTTCCAAAATTGCACGCACAGTCACCCAGAAACTGGGCTTCTCCAAAGGTCTGTAATCACTCATGGTCATCATCCTTCCAGATAAGACTGTGGCTTAGCCTTACAGTATATGTGTGTATATTCTTGTCACTAAAGTAGTTTGAACCCTAGTGTTAGAACAGCATGCAACCTCTAAAGATGTGATTATTAGATTTATTTTACTCTATTCCAACAAAGAAAATACCAATGCATCAGTAATTGTGTAGTTACCATATTGCATTGCTAAAAGAAGGGGTTTGTTTTTCGTGCCATAGTTACGTTATACTTTACAGCCATGCTCGCGGCAGGGCTTGAGGGATGTCATTTCTTCTGGTCCAGTCTGGAAAATCTCAACAGTTCATGGACTGATCAAAAAAAAAAAAAAAAGAGTCTTGTACAGATATTTGTTGTTCTTAGACAGAGTGTCTTGATTACTTTAACAGTGTCTTAATGTTTTTTTTTTAAGTACATGTCTCAACACTTATTGTATCAATGGTATTGAAAATTGGTGGAGACATTCATGCTCATTCAGGCATTAATACAAAAACAGCTTTGATGGGGATGCAAAAAAAATTGATATCATGTGATCAAAGTTTTATTTTTTTATTTTGATTAATCACAGAACAGGTAAAAAATGAATGACATTTCATCTGTCTCTACTGTACCTGTATGTTGTGCCCATTAGCCAGTGCTAGCGGGCTATGCTAGAGTTCCTAGCATCCCTGTTTGTTTCCCTGTTAGGTTGTTATACTCTTTGCTAAAACGCTGGCTATAAATTGTATGAAACCAAACATGTATTCAAAAACCGAGTCACTTTTCTGTTTCACTAGGCCCACCTCTCTGTCAATCTAATGCACAAATTACATGCTTGTTGCTGCATTTCCAGTCTGCAATTATTTGCTAGTATTAGCAATCATTTGCTAGCAGTTACTTAAACACAGCTGGGTAACGTGCATGTTCTTAACTGGATTAGCCCAGAAAATCACGCAGTGTCCATCTGCCATATTCAGGGTCTGGGTTTGACAAAATGTCCTAAGTGTAACTTAAAAGATGGCAACTGCAGTTTGACCAGGTCTGTTGTTTGATCTGTATGGATGACTCTAATCTGATCTACCGTCTCCAAGCTGTACGGTACATTTTATCTCCTGCTTGCAGATTATAACAGGAGGATCTGGCACTAGCTATCTAAATCTTCCCTGACAAACAAATGCTCAGTGAAGGGATATGTCTATAGTGCTTTCCAGACGGCAGCAAAGTCCACTGGATCCCATCACCTTGCTGTATAGGACATGACTAGACTAGATTATAGATTCTAAATAAGGACACACTCTCAGCCCTGTTGGCACGTTACGTGTGGCAATATAGCTTCGGGCCACAGTCACAGCAGGAGTCCCTGTCTCACCTACTGGCCTCGTTGGATTGAGCACAGCATGTTATTTTAACACCATCACGCAGTTATTTATAGACTGCTAGTGAACAGTGTTTTTTTTAGCCATGTGTTACAGAAAATGCTGAATTTGAACGATTAGTTTTAACGATTAATTCAGCATTTCTATAGTTTCTACAGTTTTGCTACACAATTATTTGAAGCAAATAGGTCACTGCTGTTGAATGAAGATCTAATTTTGTCCTGATTTGTCTTTCAGCTTCAAGCAGTGGTACTCGGCTCCATCGAGGTTATGTTGAGGAGGCCTCACCGGAGGACAGACCCCCCCAAACTACACACATCGTCTTTGTGGTTCATGGGATTGGACAGAAGATGGACCAGGGCCGCATTATTAAAAACACTGGAATGTGAGTTGCAGGGTTAAAAAAAAGATGATTTGATTTAGAGTTTTCTTTTGTGTATGTCCTTTTATGATAACAGCGTTTTTACTTTTATTCCATTAGAATCTGTGATCAGGTTTAAAAAGGACATGTTCCACCTTTTAACTTATTTAATTTATGTGCTAAATCCATGTCCAGTCTAGATTAATGCAAGCACAGTGTGAGGAAAAAAAACCCTTTCTGGGATGTAATGTGATGTTTAAATTCCCACAAAGTTAGTTTTGTGTCTTTTGTTTTTCATCCTGTTCTAGACACAGTCGGTCTCTCACTCTTCTCCTCCTGTTATTATTCACATCTTCCATACTTTTGTTTTGTATCTGTTGCAGGCACAGATCATAATATTTTGCTACTTTTCACTGTTGTGAATTTTCCCATAGTTTTTTTTTTTCTTTTCTGTGGTAGGTTTGACAGGTTTCAGATGTCAACTGGTTTGGCAGGTCTTTGGCCAGTTACGTAATTAGCACGTTTACAGAATGCACAGCTAAGAATGCCTGGGCTGCGTATGTATATAGTGCTGTTTAGATTTCTGTTGGTAAGATTATGCACAAACTACCGCACCAGGAGAGGTTCAGCATTGCCAAAGGAGGAGCCCATTAAATTTTGATGAAGATCCAGATCACTTCCTTTCACATTCCGAGACATGACATTGGCAGAGGACTGCACCGCCTGAGCACTCTTCTAGTTTCCATTTTTGACTGGTGGCTCAACTTCAGAGAATGATATCCCACAGTCTTGGCACATAAAGCTCAAACTGTCAGTCGGTGGTGTTAGATAAAGTTCTTTTTGTCTTTCAAAGGTATCGTGTTTTGATGAGGAACTTGTGGATAGCAGGCATTTGTGTCGAGTTCACTGGCCTCTCGTGAGGAAGTTATGACAGAGCACAATCCTCACTTCTGTCTCTAGAAATTAAAGAAAGCAAATATGTTCTTTTTTAAGAGATCGTCTCCTCAGTGGAGCTGAGCTGTGCATAGGACATTTAGCAAATGTTGTTTAAGCTAGGAACAGTCTTTGTCTATGTTATGTCATGTGAAAGATTGTAGTGTCTTCAGTTACACTACTGTATTGGCCTTGGTCCATGGACCTCACAGTACTACTGCAGACAATAGCACAGGCTGTACAGATCAGAGCGATGTGTGTCTCTATGTCACAAAGTCGCTTAGACACACTAAGCAGGTAAAGTAGACCAAGTCAGGCTGCAGAGCACTTTAAGCCTGACTGCCATCTCCTTGTGGATTACAGCACACACTTTCCTCAGCCAAGAGGAAAGATCAGCCTGACATGTCTAGTCTCTGACTTGTTTGTCTGTTGTTTTACTTATTTATTTATTTTTTTAAGCTGAATTAATTTCCCCACTGTGCCTTTCAGAGTTTTTAGCTGCAGTAAAAGAGGAAATTGTGGGACTTCAGGAATGCCATTTTGTCTAGAATCAGCAACTATTTATTTAGAATTTATTTTGCTAAACCTAAAATGCCAAAGCTCACTGTCGAGTTCCTGCCAACCTAAAAGCAAAGGAGACCTTGTGGGTGCAGCACAGAAAGTCATGTAATGCAGCACTCAAACCTTTGAGCATTTAAGTTCCCCTGCAGACACACTAGATTGTCTTATCAAAACCTGCATTAGGTGCCCCATTAACAGACCAGTCACCTAAAAGCTTCTAACCCTACTTCACCCTCTCTCTCTTTGTGTATTTAGTGTATCCTGCAAGCTAATGCTGGCCCATATAGGGCTGGTAGCATTGTAACTATTGTGTGTGTGTGTTGTGCAAGGAAAGCTATTGCATCAGTAAGCAGTTAAGTGGACGTCATTCTTCCCCATCCAACAGTCATTTAAGCCTGAGAAAACGAGTGCAAACACCGACGCTAGTCAGTCTGTAGTGTGGATGGACATACGCAGAGGATGTTACTCATACACTCACAACTTGTCATTATTGTACATCGCTTCCCAGACAATACCGTGATGACATTGTGTCTATATTAAGCCAACATTTACCAAAACGCACACAGTTGTCAGAGTGATGTCACCATCATATGCTGCTTCTTCTGTCTTGTGTCTGTTTAGGCTGAGGGAAGGGGTAAGGAAGATGGAGGAGAAGCACTTTTCAGAGCACAATGAAGAGCATGTGGAGTTCCTGCCTGTAGAGTGGCGCTCGAAACTCGCCCTGGACGGAGGTGTGTGTTTTTGACAATGTGCATGCGTGTATCCATGCACATGTGTTTATTCTGTTTTGTTTGTTCTACAAGAAGCAAAGCTGTTGTCATCCCTTGCAGACTTTGCTATTTATGAAAGACTCAGCAACCCTTTGACCTGCTCTAAGTGGTCACTGTGGTATCAGCCAGGATTAGTTGTTTAACCGAAAGTGTATGAGGCTGTGAGCACAGCACTTGAATGAACCAACTTCCCATTAAGTTTTATTGACTGCCGATATGATACCAGACCTATTCTGTTTGTAGTAGATCTGTTTTGTACTCAGGTGTTGGTATGTTTCTGTAGATACGGTAGACTCCATCACACCTGACAAAGTAAGAGGACTGAGAGACCTTCTCAACAGCAGCGCTATGGACATCATGTACTACAACAGTCCCCTTTATCGCGATGAAGTAAGTCAGACACTTTGAGAAGCTGGTATAGATCTGTGGTACCTGCTACTTCTACTAAAAGCCTCTTCAATCCCCCTCAACAGATTACTAAGGGCCTAACACAAGAGCTGAACAGACTGTACACACTTTTCTGCGCGAGGAACCCTGAGTTTGAGGAAAGGGGCGGCAAAGTGTCCATCGTGTCTCACTCCCTCGGCTGCGTCATCACCTATGACATCATGACTGGATGGGATCCTGTTCGCTTCTGTCTGCAGGAGCATCATGTTGTGGAGGAGGAACTGGACCTGCGCTGGATGTCCTATGAGGAGAGGCATCTTTTAGACCAGCTGAGACACACAAGGACTAGGTACAGTTCACTAATTTAGAACAGTGACTCTCAGGGACGACATGTATAGCAGTATGTCTGTAAAGATCCTCACAGATTTAGATGGAAACCATAAGAGAAAGTGGTAAAAGAAGGTTAAGTTTTTTTATTAATTTGAGTAAGTATTCAAGGATTTACTAAGCCATACATTGCCAAACAATAAACAGACAAATACTCATAGCTTATATTTCTACAATCTCTTCTAAATTGAACACCAAACCTAATATTTGTCTTTATTTGTCGTGCACAATACAGTGTGTGCTGCTAGCTGCTCTGCTCATGCTCCAGTGTCCAGTAGTAGGTTTGGTTTTCTATTTGTTGTTGTGTGGGCTGAGGAATATTCTGATGCCTCATGATCAAATGTAGTGGAAAAGGCTTTTAATACAGCTGCCCTGCACCATTCCATCACACAGTGCGTGCGATGTGATTTACTGTGTGCGCCATTACCGTAGTGAATATGCTGGAGTAAGGGTTATTGATCCGTGTGGTACAGAAACTGTTTGATGACTAATGTAAAGACAAAGGGTCTGTGTAGATAATGGGTGCATGTCTAGGTAACATGAGCTAATGTATATGGGACATTAATGAGAATTAGATTACAACTGATTGTCAGGCTTTCGTTTTAGAGACGTTTTTAATTTGTTTTTATAGTACATTGTAGGACACAGTGGTTTTTCTGCTTCTTACAGGTTGCGAGAGCTGGAAAATCAACTCATCACATTGGAGGCCTCGAAGCCTTCAGCCCCACCAGCTCTCAAATTTAAGGTAAGATGCTCAAATATGGTAATGTGCTATTGCCTTACAATGTGAAATTACTCTAAAATGGTAAACAATAGCGATTTTAACATTTCTAACAAAGGCTATTTGTTGAAAAGTGATCGAATTATGTGCTGTATCCTTAGGTGTATATGTCTACAGGGAATCAGAACAGAAATGAATATCCTGTGGGCCTCTATAACTTTGCTTTTCACAACACAGAACAAGTGATGTTTATGTCAATACCAGAGACTGCTTTTTGGAACATTTATGTCATTTTTGCACCCTTTGTCTTTCAGGTAGAAAACTTCTTCTGCATGGGTTCTCCTCTGGCAGTGTTCTTGGCCCTGAGAGGGATCCGGCCCGGTAGCAGCTGCCACCAGGACCACATTTTGCCCACCTCTATCTGCAGCAGGCTCTTCAATGTCTTCCATCCGACAGACCCCGTGGTAGGTCTTCTTTGGTTGCCCCAGTCCTCACAGATACCGTTCCAATTTCCATTGTGCTCTGCTGATAGAAACACTCAGATGTGTTAATAAAAACAAAACATGCTCTGTGTATGACCATCAATTGGTTTTTACATGAAGCTAACTCAAGTTTTACTGCTTTCTTTAGGCCTACAGACTGGAGCCCCTCATTCTTAAACATTACAGCAACGTAGCACCTGTTCAGATACACTGGTAAGAACTGAATTTTATAACACATGCATGCATGCATAATGTTTTCAGAGTCAGTGTGCTCTGAATATCTGGGGTTTGTTTTGGTCACCAGGTGTAGCGCCACTAATCCCACACCCTACGATGAGATCCGGCCCACGTTCCTCAACCCAGTCAAAGACCCAACATCCGACACTGAGAGCATCCCCAGCCCGAGCACCTCTCCTGTCCTCCCTCGCAGGCACTATGGAGAGTCTATCACCAGTCTGGGCAAGGCCAGCATACTGGGTAAGGCCCACTATCTCTTTTTTAAATTGTAGAAAAACACCTAACCTTTGTGTTTTTTTACATTACTGTAAAATTTATGCAACATCAGTCACAATCTTGAAAAGATTTCAAGTGTAATTTATAAGAAGTTCTGCATTACCAAACAGTTTTGTGATGAATCTTAGTTCTGAAACAGTTTCAGTACGCTCAGTTTGTTACTTCACATTAGATCAGAATAACACAGAGAGATCTCTGTAGTGAAAAATAACAGGAATGCAGAAAAAGGTGGTTAGTGGTCGTTTTGTTTACGCTTCAGACAATTTTATTTTTCCACATTTCCTTTTAAAATTGTCATTGGTGAAAAAAAAAAAAAATCACTTCCTGACTGATCTTACAACTTACGACTGGAGGCTTAGAGAGAGAAAGAGACTAATTAAATTTCTCTTTTCTGTGAATCCACACTGCCAAATTACATTTCATTTTATCTTGTGAGGTCAATGAGGTACTGGAGGTAAGGGGGGATGCTCTTTTGTGGCAACAGTGCCATCATGTGGCAATAAGGAGAATAGGCTCGTGTTGTTGATGACGTGTTTATGATGCTATTTTCACTTTAAAAAACTCACCATGTTAATACCTTTTTTTTAATCTACTGAACCACATTTCGATGAATTTACTTCCCTAATTTCACTCAAACTCTTTTTAATTCCTCACTGTAGGAGCGGCAAGCATTGGGAAGGGCATTGGAGGCATCCTCTTCTCGCGTTTCTCTCGCTCCAACAGCCAGCCTTCAGTGTCCTTGGGGCTTGATGGTGGGGCGACTGCTGAAGAAGACGAGCAGAAGCGTACAGAAAGCCAGTCAGCATATGGCCTCTCCACCATGATTCGACCCACTTCGCCTATTATTGACACATCATGTGAGTCTACTTACCAGTCCAGCATCAAACAATCATAGAGCGAGACTAACTTTCATTTGCAGAATGAATGCAGAATACTGTGACTGTATTGTTCAGTAACTCATGGATGGACCGCTCTGTTTCTGTCTTGCAGTGGAGCTGGAGCGACGCATCGACTTTGAGCTCCGAGAAGGTCTGGTAGAGAGCCGCTATTGGTCGGCAGTGACTTCACACACAGGCTACTGGTGCTCACATGACATAGCTCTCTTTTTGTTGACCTTCATATACAAACAGAAGACGACTCCCTCTGACCCAGCAGAAGACACGCCGGAGCCAGACTGAAGCAGCACATTCATTAAAATGCACACACTTGAATGGTGTCTTATAATACTGAAGGTGTTTGTCATCTTCTCAGCAAACTCAAACGGTGACATTACTCATTTTGCTCAGACACACTGATATTCCCTTTTACTTTATCTCTCTGTGACCTAGCTCTTTTAACACTTTGGAAGCATCACTAACAAACTGACTCAAATCTTCATTCCAAAATGTGCATTTTTGTCTCTTTTTGTTTCGTTTGCACACATTTGCACACCCTAAGGGTGACAGTAATAGACCAGGAACCCCTAAGGAGGTGCACCCTTTGCCAGTATGACCACAAGCAACCTGTAAATATGGAATAAGAGTCTAATGAGTCTGGTGCGTGGAAGTTTGTTGCATCTGTGGATAGAGTTCTATCTTCATTGTGTAACTTAATCTTAACTCAAACAGCTGCAGCATGTTGATAAAGTGTCCATAAGTTTCCTGTTAATGCTTAAATCCAGCCACTCTCCCACAGACTCAGTCTGGAGCCTTGTCACACATTTGCCTGACCCTCAGTCACTGGGGCTTCAAGTTCCATGTCTGATCTTTTTAACTTGTTTTTTGATACGAAGGAGAGAAAAAAGTTATGGTCAAATCGTAGAAGTTTTTTTCTTTAAACATTTAACTACTACATGTCAAAAAGCTAATTCTATAAAACAAATGCAATGCCTTTCAAAATCAGCCAAACAATGCTACTCACGTTGAACATTTACGATATTGTGATGTTTTTCCACCAAAAAATCAAACCAACAGAGGGCATTATCCCTTTAATAATGTTTTGGCAATAAGAAAAAAAAACATGCTATGCTGTTACTTTTTCATATCCATTTTATTTTAGATCATTTGACTCTAGAAATAAATATACACCAAATAACCTGAGCAAAGCAATGTTTTATATATTACACAGTCAAATAAAGCAGAATTTTCCTTAATGGAAATATTCAGTAACTAAACGGTACAGTCTTTATTTTAGTACACAGGACAAATGTCTGTTGCTAACACAAGAGTTACAGCTAAATATCCTCAAAGTTCTGTTACATTCGGACGTTTACAACAACATGATGCTTGTTTCCGGGCATATACTTGCTCTTAAACAGCGGTCTCACATGTTGTGTTACTTTCTCACAGTTTATGGTTTCAAATTAGTCAAAAACCTTTGATGATGTCACTCAAAACAATCACTCATTTAATCTAAATTCATACTTATATTTTAAGGATGTTATGGGGAGGATTTTTGTGCTCATATCTTTATATTGATATTCAGATGAAATCAGTGGTACTAGATGTATTTTTTCTTAAAAAATCATATTTTTCCTAGTGATTTTCAGTCTCTTGAAGATTTAGACCTGGATCTCATCTTGATTAAAATGGGATTTCAATTTGTGGCCAAATAACATTTATGTGTCTAACTTGTTAGCTGCTTAGCTCTAGTAATGCTAAGGCTAATGCATAATCCATGAAAATGTAATTGGCCTCGGTAAATGCAAATGGATTATCTTCTTCTTTTTTTTTTTTGAGGCTTTTGTAATATGTTGCACACAAACTGCATCTTGTTCGCCTTGTTGTCACTTTCCCCTTTTGAGCAAAGGGTGTGTCCGTTTGTCTTTGTATTTGTGTAAAAGAGGGGTTTTTTAAATCTTAAAATCCTGCATGTGCCAGTCATTTGACTGTGTTAGCCTAATTGACAGTACTTACAGAGTCATTCATAAAAGAAAAAAAAACTAAGGACAACTGGAGACAGAAAATCATGATTGGTTTTCTAAAATGGATTTTTGCCTTAGGTTTGCCAGAGCATATGTAAGAAAAAAAAACAAACACTGGTAGATCTCATATTAGCTATTGGTCCCAGTGATAATTCTGCACAAATTAGAATGCCTCCTCACTTTGCATGGTGTCATATTAATAACAAATGGATGTTGGAACAAGAAAATAGTGCAGAGTGCCAACACACGTCTACGAAACTTTGCTATAACTATAAAACCACTCGTGATCGTTTCTGGATTTCTAATGAAGTCATTTTAAAATACATTCGCAATGGATGACGAAATGGAACTGTCCTCATATTAATGTTTATGGAGTCACCTGTGACAGACTTTATTACTGTCGTGTCAAATTTAATTTGTGTCCTGCTTGTTATGATATCATGTAGAGCTTGTTTTCATTTGTTATGGTGCGAGTTGCAGCTTCACTGTTCCACACAAGGGCTGTAGCTTACTGGTCCACCACTTAATGGAATCAGTTTTTCTGTGTTTAATGTCTGTGTTACGTGTGCAAAGACTTACTGACTAAAACCAGGCTGCCTTGATGAGATGGCCCGATAGGTAATCAGGAAGTAGTATGGAAGCTGGGACAAATAAGGGAGAGCGATATGGAAGTGTTGCTATTTGAGCTGGTGGATCTTGTACATTCATTTGCAATGAATTGCACAGAAGCTATGTTAAAAAAAAACAGCCCATCTTATTTATTCATTTTTGCTCAGCATGTGTTACTTTGCAGCGATAGATGCAGAAAGCGATTTCAACATGTTACTTGCAAAGGAATCCTGGAGGTCTTACATGTGTAAAGCAAAATACAGTAGCAGTTCCATTGTTGCCTCTGCATCTTTAAACCACACTTTGTGGGTTCAGACAAATACGTACTGTAGGAGTGTGGACAGACCAGTGTAACAATAACGACAACGTTCCTGCCAGTGTTCATGATTTGGCCGTGTTTCCAAAATGTATGTAAAAAATTTGCACATTTTGCATTATTGCAATTTTTGATTCAAGCACAGATTTTCAAATGTGTTCACTCTGCTTGCTATTAAAAAAAACTAGCAAGTTAACTGGAGAGCATTAAAGAGAATTTTGTTACAATACATTGTAATTTTGACTATATGAGCATTTAATGTACAGCATTTTGAACGACAACAGTATATTTTTCTTGTTAAAGGCACCACAAGCATCAGGGAATTGTCTGCTGTTACATGTTTTGTAGATTCAACACTCTTGTTGATGCCAGATTGAAGCCATTATTGAGTCAAACAATTCAGCACAGATGTCACTCTTTCAAACGTTCACAAGTGGATGAACAAGTTGCGTATGGTTTGCCACCATATGTTGTCAGATGTGGGGTAAAAAAAAAGAAAAAAAGAAAAAGAGATGCACATTAAAACGTACTGTGATTGTGTTGAATGAAATTTGTCAAACAGGTGATACTGTTGCTCTAACTTTGATTGGATGTCTGGAAAAGTGTTCTATGTCTGTCCCTAGAGCTGTGCAATAACCCATGCCTGTAATGGATTCTAACTGCCATCCAAAGCACTGTATTTATTTCCTTTTATTAAAGCATTTCTTTTTGGATACAATCATTATTTTTGCAATCTTTCTTGTTTCACAAATAATACTACGAGGGAATATTTTTTTTAAAATTAGGAACCTCTGTTGTGTAGGAGGAGGCTGAACTCACCAGAGGAAGATGGCTTCATTGCTCATTTCCAGACTGATTCTGGAGCACAATGGAGCTGTTTGTTCTCCTGTAACTCACATCAGATTCTTTCCGAGGCGCCCCCCCGCTGAAGCGAATAACAAAGCTGACTTATAGATCGTGAATAGGCCGCATTGTAATCCATAAGCAGTCATCTTTTCCGAGGGTTCTTTTAATGCAGTTTAGCAACATCTGCAAAGGCGAGGCTCACAGATGGGACCAGTTAGATTAGAGGCGCTTGATAAATTATGGATGAGGCCCTGCTGTTCTGTGTTTGGCCAGAAGAGGTCAGTCATCTATTAGTAATCCTGGAACAAAGTCCCACAGTGACCATCTGTCCAGCGCTCCTTCCCTTATCCTGTTTCCATTTATTAGCCCTAACTAAGTGAGATATTTTGACACATGATAATGCGCTTAAATATAATCCTGACTGATCAGTTATGATTGTACACTGGTATGATGCTGTTAAACTGGCAGAAAATACAAAAATCTGTAATCAAAACTAAAAAAAAACTTGCCTCCTCCACCCCCCTGCTCCCTCTTTCTCCCCCTTTTCACCTCCTCCGTCCTCATCCACATCAGCAGCAGCAGCCGAGCCAGCTCCCCTATCTGACTCTCTCCTGTGCTGCATCTGACTGACTCAAATGTTTACTCTGCAATTAAAACACAGCCTATAAAAGGCAATGGGTCGGCTGCCAGACACTGACGAGGGGGTCAGAGCTGCGGAGGGAGAAGGAGAGGTTATAAATCGCTTTGATGCCGACCGTAGTCTGAAGGCCCAGATTCCTGAGCTGTAGGATTGGAGCTGAGTGAGTTCACGGGGAGACTGAGCCAGAAACTCATGATGATTCATGGGTCTTTACTGCACATCGCTTGGAGAGTGTGTGTTGGAGTTGTGCATTGTGTTGTTGCTGCTGCTGCACTGGAAAGAAAGGAGACGGCTGCCTTTCTCTGCACTTTTTCACCCCTGACTTATCATTTGTGTGATCACTTGATTGGACGCGTGTATGAAACGCTATCTTTCATCTGTGGCAGTGGAGACGTGAGCAGCAGCTTGCAGACGGTATTATCTTCAGCCTCTTGTGATCCCCACAGATACTGAAGCTCTACTAGCAAAGGTCCCATTGCTATGTGAAGGGATGATGCTGAGCTGCACACCATCAGTCACAGGCCCATATTAGAAAACTAAGCATCTTAGTAAATCAAAGTAAACTGCATTTCTGTAATTTAATGACTTTCAGACACAATGTAATGACCGACCAAGTGGAATTAGATCATATAATTAAGTACATTTATTCATTTGGAAACTATTTACTTCACTCTATCTCTCCATTAAGTGAAAAATTGTGCTTTTATTCCATTATTTTAAATGTAAGAAGTAAATACTGCTTTTTTTTTTTATTCCTTATCTGCAGCTCTGTATACTTATTATGCTCTGCTATATGATTTTCACTGGATAAAATGATGATATATACTGTATTTCTTTACTTTAATACCCTAAAGAGTATGTATAGCAGTTGGACTTACCTCCATTTGGATCAGCAGCACCACTGTTCCTTAAATATATGTGAAGTGTCAGGAATGGCTGTAAATATCTGTATTTCTTGGCTAATTTCGACACCTAAAACTCATCCGATGGGTCATTAAGTCTAAATGAAACAGTCTACGCTGCAGGAAAATGACGGGGAGACACTTGTGAATATTTACGGCCGTTCGTACAGCCGAATTTCAGAGGAACGCATCAGTTATTAAAGCTGTGATGGAACTAAAATTCCCTGTTATTTTATGCAGTAACTCCCAGAGCTGAAGAACTAAAGGTCCCTGGATGCAGATACAAGCCTCAGCAGCACTATTGCCATAAAAGGCAGCTTGAGATCTTAACTGCATGCCCATTAACTCTGCCACAAACTGCTGAATTTTCTACTGTAAAGGGTTGCAAAGCGGCAAAATCTGTAATAAAATGTATACACAGTGTTCTAAAAATAATCCCTACGCTCTTGTTCACACGTGGCTGAGGCTGACTTTATTTTTTTAATGTCTTTGTAAGCCATAAGTTTACTATTAATTCAATATCTTATAAGTAAATCACAACTACTATAGTTTTTTTTAATGTATCGCCTGTTTTCTGTTTAAGGTCCAGAAAAAGATTTATTATCAAATCTAATGATTAAAAATAACAGATATCTTTTGTTTAAACCTCCAAACACTGAGTGAAGTAGTTAGAAATGTGAACATTGCATGAATACCTCATTGCTTTTCTTGTGTTTAGTGAAAAACAGAAGTGTCATTTTACCAGATAGCAGCGCTGCAAAGTGCATTTACTCCAACATTTAAATAAAGTGCAATTTTGACATACTTGTGTTGAGAAATTCTACTTTATGCTGCCTTTTACATTTATTCCACTGTGATTGAGGGCCAAGTGTTGTACTTTTTGCTCTACTGCAGTTATTTTAGGGCCTTAATTACTTTGCAGATGTAAAATATAATTAGAAATTGTCGATTAAACTCACAGCAAGTCGATCAAATCAGTCCCAACTTTAGCCACTTCAGGATCAAAGCGATGTATACGTTATTTCCCTCAATATTTACACAGTTTGAATCAGAAACACCGTTCTGTACATTGAGTACTTTTACTTTTGAGTACATTTTTTTGCTTTTTGTTGTTTTTAAACTTTTGAATATCTGACTTTTGCTGTCGATGCTTTAGTTGTAGGTCAGCACTCACAGTGTGAACCTCTTGGATTTTACTAAAATTAAAACCTGTGGAAGGCTGACTGAAGATTTTATTACATTTGTACTTTTTATTATTATTATTATTATTATTATTATTTTAAAAGTTTTAAATTATAAGCAGTGTTTCCTTGAGAATATTCTCTTACCTCGCCCTGTTTTAGCACATTTATTGCTCGTTATGTTGGTAAATATTTTTCCAACACAGTCCAGTGTGATATTTGTGTGTGTGCATTTGTTTTTGTCATATTTTTGATCATTTAAAGCTGTTTAATTTGATTCAGAATGTTTAAAATGTGAACATATATGTAT